TCGTTACGCATTACATTCCCGTTATGCATTGCACAATAATTAACAGTTGCCACAGGCAAGCCGTTGAATCTAAATTCAACTAACTACCAACTCTCTTCCCTAGTGATGGAGTTATAGGCACTCTCACATCCCGACGCCGAAGCGTCTCTCCAATTCCCATTATTCCTACGCGACTGGATAGACCGGAGGATATCTAGCTTATCCTTTACTAGTTATCCGGATATATCAGTCGCAGTACCTTGCGACAGTGTCCGGACATAGTTTACAACCTACACACCAATACAATCCTACCATTGAGTAGAAAATATATGAGATAAAATGAAATCTTATTAAATGTTAATTATATGTAAGACGAAGCCTAATTAAAAAGGCGCCAAAAAAGTCGCTAAATTTTTCTTGTCGCTAAATAGAAACAAAATGTCGCCTATGTTGTCAAAATGTCGCTAAATTGGCAACACTGTGGACGAATAAACCGCCGATGATGATATAATATAACAAGATCGGCTATTTATTGCATAAGCGTGACCAATATTCAGTCGATAGTTGATAGAATATTTTCACTTTACGCAATAAAAAAAAAGACAGACTATATGTGATAGTACTTAGGCACTCTTCCCTTTCCAGGTGGACGATTCGGGCACAAAAGCACAAGAAGACAGGCTTCAGCAGCTCAGTGCAGGTCTTGAAAACGGCAAAGAAGAGGAAGCTGATACCGCCGCAGCGCCCATCAACGAGAGTCTTTTCCTCGATGAGGACCTGGATGAAGAGTTACAGAACCTCGATCTTGAGGATTAGGAATAGTGAGATACATAGATGTGGTTTGTGTTTGAGCAATAAGATTGTACTTTCTCTCTTAAGGCTGTCGTCCAATTAACGCCTCAGTACACCTTTCGGCTAACCCGTAATCTGTCTGAGAAGTTTAACGGATGTTTCGTAGAAACTTAGGTTTAAACGGCAACACTGTAAAATTTTGACAGTTAGTTGAAAAAATGATTTCAATAATAATAGTAAAGAGCTTTTTTTTATCAACATTGAAATAACAGTTTCGCCTGAAATAACATCTTGCAACCGTAAGATGTAATCAACATCTAGAATGGTAACACTGTCAAGTTTGATATTAAAACTTGGACTTTAATGGCAACATTCTCAAAAATGTGACAGATAACTAGTAGAAAAGTGATTTAAACGGCAATACTTTTTTTACATTCCTGTATTTAAATTCATCGTAAATAGTAATAATTATTCGAATAGTTCTGCTGTCCTGATTATTTTTATACACTGAGTTGATCAGCACTTTAAAAAAAAATCATCAACTTTATTCTTATTTATAGACAACTCACGCCTTACCAAAAAATTGACTATGCCAAAATTGTTTTTACAAAAAAAGACTTAATGGTTCCTAAGACACTCTGTATATGTAATTTCGTATTAACTACACATGTCAATCACTAGTCACATTTAACTTTCCTCAGTTAAAACTCCACATGGATGTAGTTACTGAAAAATGTTAATTTCGCAGGTGACGGTTATACAATGATGACATAAATTTGAAATAAACTGGAAATGTCACCTTTCATTTAAATAATATAATTCTTGAAAAAACATTATAACCACATACTGCCGTTTCATCTTATTATTACACTAAATTTAAGAATAGTGTTGTAATTTATGCTATTTACTAAGTTGAAAATGAAAAAGGGTAATAATTAAATAAAGAAGCATAAATAATAAAATATTTTAAATCTATATTTTGCGTATGACATAGGTTTATCTTACTGCGTTTGCAGAAAGTGTCTAACGAATATATTATCATGTAATTTCTTTAAACATTATTTTCTCTGTTTTGAGCACCTTGATGACGGCAGTATCGGAATGATCAGACTTATTAATGCGGAATCGGCTTGCGGTATTACAAAAGTTTATACTCAGGCAATAAGAGCGAAAAAGATGTCACATCTTTTTGGTTATTACTAGATGGATAAAGTTTTCCTGACCAGCTTGCGCAGCTGGAAGTTGACAGTAGTTTTTGTTAGCTCAAACATAAATCATTCAATATTTTGCTATGGTTTATTTACACATAAGAAAGGTTGTCCAGATTGTATTTTATATCAACATGTATGTACATTCGGTATGTTTTAAAACCCAACAGATACACTGCAATGTAAAAAATTGTAAAGGAATTCAGGAAGTCTATTTATTGGTCATGTCCCTTTCAACTAACTGTCGTATCTGACAAGCGGAATACTTTTTAGTGCCAAGTCGCTTCCCAAAGTCTTTAACAAACCCAGGTGACCCTGTTTTTCCACACGCAAATAAGCCCCTAGATTGTAGGCACCAGCCCGTTACAACATACTATACCATCCCATTTGATGATTTTGTTACAAGTTACAACTGAAACGACGCGTGCGTAGAGGAAAAAAATGAGGCCGTGGTTTTTTGGAATTTAATTTGAAATTTACCATGAGCTAGTCGGTGAAGGAAGATTTTGATGAAACCTGCACGTTGAAGGTTGTACCTCGGAAAAACCCGCATTGGGCCAGAGCGTGGCTGAGAGGAGGCCCGTCCCCAACAGTGGGACATGTAATTGGGTTGATGATGAGAAGACGTATGACCCCACTCAGCTTTCAAAATAGAACCATTCTTCACTGTGTCACCTTTTTTTATAGTGTTTTTTAAAATGTGACTGGGGAAATTTTGTACAGAAAATATTTTATGAAATTTGACTTCTTTTGTCCCGATTTTTTCGTCCCGTATAATAAAATGATCCCTTCATGAATTTGAGTCGATCAGCAATAAAAAAAAAGATCAAAATGCTTCACTTTTATGGCCAACTCACGCTTGACCAAAAAATTTACTATGCCGAAATTGTTTTCACGAAAAAAGACTTGCGGTTCCTAAGACAGTTTCCTTGTATCTTCTATGGTTTCGATTTCCCCATACTGTCCAATTTAAAAAACACTGTATATGAACCTCGCAAAATTATATTACTAACGTCATCAACAATTACTTTTTTCCATGACTTGTTACGAAACAATAAACTTACAACAAATAAACTGTTAAGTTTTTTGTTGCACTATCTGATAATTTTTACATCTGTAGTACGGTAGTAAGGTCCCCATCCCCGCTACTACATTTTGCATCGAACTTTTTTTGTTACCGCACAGAGTTATCACCGTTTAGA